ACCAACTTTTCATCGTCTCCTTCCCTCCCTTGATGTTCTCTCTTCTTTTCTTACCCATCTTAAATGCCATGTTTGAACATTACGATATTTTCTTGCATATACCCTTGGCTCCCTTGATACATTTTTGCTCTATTACACTCTCTTGACATAATAAAATCCTGCTTAAAGTCAACTTTCCATGTTCCGCATACATGTGCCTATGCAACTGACCGTATCTGAATAATTTAACTCCTGCATCACTGTTAATCTCTCCACATCGTTTGTTCTAATTCTTAGCAATTTCATCATACATGTAGATGATCACTTCCAACTCTCCAGACTCAGTTCCTCATCCTCTCCTCCAGTTATGGTTATTCTTCTACCATTCCTCAGCCATTACTCTCAGGTCACACCCTAGATTTTGTAATTACTACTTAGTGCACATAATTTCTACTTTTGGCATCTCACCCTCTGACTCCTACCTTTATCTTCTCTCTTTCCAGCTTGCTCCTTCTTGAGTCCCATTGAAATTATAATCTATTAATCTACATTTTCAGTATCCTTTAACCAACAGATGTCTTTTCACTACCTTACCTAAATTAAGTTTCATGGCCTGTCATTATATACACTCTCGTATAGATCCCCAATTCCTGTGCCTTTCTCACTTCCTTACACTTTCGCCACGAGCTACCAAGCCATTTATCTGATCTCCTTTGCAGCAAAACTTTCAAAATGTTGTCTAAATCTAGTGTTTCTAATTTGTCTTCTCTGATTCTTTCCTAAACCTGCTCCAATCTGGCAGTCTCCACCACCACTCCATTGAAAGAACTCTTATCAAGGTAAACCACGATCACTGCATTGCTAAATTCAATTTGCCAGTTCTCAGTCCTCATGTTACATAATCTATCCGCAGCAGTTGACGAGGCTGACCATGCAATTTTCCTGAAACACTTGATTCATTTGAATTCCAGGCCACAACACAAATCTGGTTTTCCTACTATCTTGCCAGCTTCTCCTTGGCCTCACTCTCTGGTTTCTTATCTCCTTGATATTTAACATTGGTTTACCNTCTTCTGGCTTTAAATACAGTACATAAGCTCAGGAACTGAAAATTTACTTTTTCAGGCTACGTCTCTCCGTTGAAATCTAGACTCATATCTAACTTCCTGTCTGGCATCTTCCTCTAGATGTCAAACAGATATTTGAAATTCAAGCTGTTCCAAACTAAACTCTTCACCTCCCCTAGTCCCCAACAAACCTGCATTCTCTGAGGCTTGCCTATCTCAATTGATGGTCATTCCCTCTTTCCAGTTCCTTAAGCCAAAAACCTTGGAATTCTTCGCACTTCTTTTTTTTCTCAGGGTTTATTTCCAATTCTTTAAGGAATCCTGATTACTCTATCTTCAAAGTATTTCCAGAATATTCTCCTTCTTACCACTTCAACTTGAAAACTCTTTGATCCTTGCCCTGAAGCATCTATTCTCAACAGCAGCCAGAGCAATAGGTCCGCCTAGGTGAGATGAGGCCATTGCTCTGCTTAAATGCTTGCAATGATTCGCCCTTCACTCAAGGTAGAAGCTACAATCCTTACACGGACTTAAAAAGCCCAACACGGTCTGGTCCCTATATATCTTTTCCTCCTCATTTCCTGCTTCTCTCCCATCACTCACTGTGCTTGCACCAAAAAAGCCTCTTTACTGTTAGTGGAGCACCTCGGTCTGCTCCCACTTTAGGGCCTTTGTACTAGTTGTTATCTCTGCCAGGAATGGCCTTCCTCCAGATATCCACAGGATAAGTCCCTCAATTCCTTTAAGTATTTGCTCAAATATCTCCTTTTCAATGAGGCCTACTAACCACCTCATTTAAAAATCCAGTCCTCCCAGAATTCATAATCCCCTATACTAGCTGTTTTCTTCTCTTTTTTATTTCTTATTACTTATCACCTTCTAACTTACTAAATAATTTACTTTTTTTTTCTTGTATATTGTCTTCCCATGATACAATGCAAACTCTGTGAGCTAGGGAATCCCTGTCTGTTTGTTCACTAATTTTTATAATCACAAATACTCAGGAGAGTACTCGGTGGATATTAGGTACCCAATAAATAATTGCCGAATACATAAAAAAACGAGNGAGAGTACTCGGTGGATATTAGGTACCCAATAAATAATTGCCGAATACATAAAAAAACGAGTAGTGCTACTACAGAACAAAAGTAATATGTTATGTCCATGACAAACAGGGCTAACTAACTAAGTCTACAAAGGACCATAAAATAGGTCTTAGAGGGTGTGAGATATAAAGAATTAGAAGTAGTTACCTGGGCAATGTTGGGAAATGGGGAATAGTTCCGATCAGAGGAAATTTAATGTATTAAGATCCATTGGTGAAAAAACATTAGTGAAGATTGAAAGGAATTTGGTGTGATTAGAGTTTAGGAGAGCAATTGAAGGGGACATAAGATGAGTGGCTAGAAAAGTAAAAAGAAATCATTAATAAAAATCTGCAAGTAAAGTATCTGTGTAATTTATCTTCTAAACTGGGATACCTCTGAGAGTGAAAGGGGTGCTTTTAATAATTACACCAGGGCGATGCATATAAACTGGGACTGTCCTGGAAAAACTGGGATTGCCTCATGCCAATAAGAATTTCTGGCCTTCCTATTTATAATCCATGTTGTATTGTAGAATTGAGGCTTTTTTCCAATGGGAAATAGGAAGCAGTTACCATGATTTATTCAGGAGAATGAAATTATCAAAATTGTGTTTAAAAATGATTATGCTGGTTTCAGGGTGGAGAACAGAGTGTAAGGCAGCAAGACTGGAATCCTGCAGCTCAGGGAAAGCACATGGGGGCACTGGCTAGGATGACACCGGTGGTGGACACAGAAAGAGCTAAATGATTTTAGGAGCTATTAATAATCAGATTTAATAGAATTTGATGAATTATGAGATATGAAAGGAAAGGGCTGGTGAAAAGTCAGAATTGTGAATACAAATTGAAGGGTAACGGTGTCATTTGCTTTTTAGTGGGGGAAAAAAGGAGGAGATAGTATTGAATGAGGGTGGGGAAATTAGTCCAATTTGAATATTTTGTGTTGGTTTTTCCTGTGAGACCTCCAGATAGAAATAACCAGTAGGCAGTTGAACATACTGTTGCAAAGAAAAGCTTAAGTCAATGACTTAGGTAAACTAATTATCAGTTTATGTAGGACAACTTCACCCATGAGAAGAGATGTGACCACTCAGCAAAAAGGAACATGAATAATGCAGAGAAAAGGCACTAGTATGTTTAAAGAACACGGCTAACATCATCATGTGCTGTCAAGATACCCACCGGACTTAATGACAAACAGGAGAGTGATGACCTTGCCGGAGCAGTTTCAGTGACATAACTGCAGATGTCAGATTGAACTGGGCATAGACATGAGGGGACAATAAGATTTTAAGCCTGCAACCAAAGAGAACTCTTTCAAGGAATTTTCTGTGAAGATATCATTGTAGGAGGGTCAAAAGTACACGTGTGTGTGTGTGTGTGTGTGTGTAAAGAGATATGAGGAGGGAGGGAGGGAGGGAGGGAGGGAAGGAGGGAGAGAGAGAGAGAGAAAGGAAGGAAGAGAGATCAGCCAGCCAGGGATTTTGGAAAAAAAAAAATGAAATTAGGCAACCAAGAATGAGGAAGAATAGAGTGAATGAAGTCTCTGAGGAGGACGACTAGGATGGGTCCGCAGCATCAGCGAAGGCAGAAGCATTTGTTAAAAGGAAGGACACACTTTCTTTGTGACAGAAACTAAATATCTGTCAGTTTGTAGGTGGTTTGGTGGCAAAATTTTAAGGAACTCTGATTGCATTTTTGTAATATCTTACTTATTCGCCAACTTACCAGCTTACAGACTTTGTTCTGTATACCTAATCAGAGCTAGCTTGTAATATATACACACATTTGAAATTTTGCTTTGAAATTTTAATTAAAACTTGTATATTTTATTTTTAAGAAAGAAACTAATGGTATTTTCCAACTTGTTTATACTTACCCATGCTGGCAATTATGCTATGTACAGGTAACCTGGAAGGGCCATGATAAAAGGACCGTGACACATTGTTTTTTCTCTGCTGGTCTTGGTTTTTAAATGCTGAATTCTCTTCTTTGGTAATATTAATATAAAAACATATGTCTGTGGAATTCATAATATATCGAGGACCTGGATTCAGCAAAATGTTTTTATTATCTTCTCTCCTAACACCAATCAAGCAAACACCAAACCTTAATTTAAGAGAAAATAAAAGAGTTTAAGATGCAATTTAACAAAGGTCTTAATATTTTTTTAAGTTTACATATATGAGAAAGTTCGCAAGTTATTATAAGGCAGGGGAAAATTAAAACTCCAAATCACAGCATTTTTAAAGCTTGAAAGAATCTTTGATGTTCAAGATCCTAATTTTTACAGAAAAGGAAATTATGTTCTTAGGCTGTTGTGAAATCATTTTAGTTGATAATGACCAATTTAACTATATATTTGAATGAAAGAAGAGAAGAGAAAAGCTATTTAAAAATATCTTATAGACTTTTCTGGGTTACTCCCTAAACACAAATTATTCTGAATATTTTTACTTCAATATGTCTTAAAGTGTTATGAAATAAATTATGTTTAAAAATATTTTTAAACGGCAAAAGTATATGCACAAATAGAATCATATTGAGATCCGAAGTAGAATGCAATAAATACTAGATTTGTGGCATATAATAGATATATTGTAAATACCCCGAATATGTTATATTAATATATTTATAATACAGATTATGTGTATTTTCATAATACACACATATTTTTATTTCATAGAAAACAATTTTCTCAAAAACAAAGGAAAAAATAATGTTCCATGTTAGAATCAGAAGGAAGTATTATTTATTTTTTAACTTATTTCTCTGGCCAAAGCAAATGCCACCTTCAGGTTTTTTTAATGCACAGCTTTTATAAATATTATTATTACTTTGTTTAAAATTTTAATCAACACTTTAAATTTTAGATGTGTAAAGAAAATTAAGTTTCAGGACGGCCCGGTGGCGCACTGGAGAGTGCGCCGCTTGGGAGTGCAGCGGCGCTCCTGCCGAGGGTTCGGATCCCATGTGGAGACCGGTTCCCTCCCACTGGCTGAGCGCGGTGCGGACGCAACACCGAAGGTTGCGATCCCGTTGCCGGTCAGTAAAAAAAGACAAAAAGGAAAAAAAAAAGAAAAAAAATTAAGTTTCATGTGTTTGTGAATTCTTTTCAAACACATTTACTCACATAAGTAGCTCAGATAAATATTTGAAAATAAATCCATCTGTCTGTGAT